TTCATGAGATTGAACTGTGTGGAAAATTTCATCACGGTCTGACTCTCCTTTCGCAAGTTATCGTGTCTACGGCCGGCCGGCCGGCCGGACACACTGCCCGATTCGAGAGTGTACTCACTTTTTGAGTACACAAAAAAAGCTAACGAGCTAATATTTAAATTAATGAATCGCGATTTATCATAATTAAATAGATACCTATGTCTGATTCAAAATACATTTTAATAATAATTTACCAATTAGCATGACGGAAAATTAAATATATCAATTTTTATACGAGCTAAATCTGTATCGATTCATACGCAAAAAAAAGAATGCTATCACTGACTGGAAACTTATCGTAATAGGGTCGAATACAATTCAATGATGAAGACGTGACACAAATGATAGACGCTTCAAGTTAATTCGATTGACTATTCTAAATTTTATTACGTACTCTAAGGAATGATTAGTAATAAACTATACTATGCATATTTAAGCTGCTTTTCCATAATACTAGATTAGATTCATCTATGTTTCAATACTAGAAAGATTTTCTCCGTGCGCATAAGACACTGATATTTATATTATCGTTTGAATGACGCTCGATGAAATGCATGATGTATATGGAACGATGAGAATAGTTTATTAGCAAATGAGGAGTATTAGGGGTGTGACTCGCGAATATGATAGATGCATATTTACCTACGCTAAAGTAGCGTTATTCTAATGAAATAAAATTTTACAATCTAAGCTTTTAAGCAAATTTCCAAAGATTCTTCGATGCTGCTAATAATAATACGGGCATTCAAACTAGCACTACCAATTAAACCATGTTTCTCTGAAAGTACAATAAATCCAGTTCTCCCAAAATAAAAATTATAAATGACTTGCACATGTGTAAACGTGAAAACATTTTTGAGTATACTGTATTGTATTTCTCAATGACTTGTGACATTCAAAGTGGTGATTTTCATAACAACTATTGAAGATCCAATCATTTTAGTTGTAAAATTATATTATAAGCGAGATACAAATAATTTAATCTTTATTTTCTGAAAAAACACCACGGAACTTCTTTATGTTATTAATTTCTTTTTATAGACGATGTTCAATCAATTAATTCGATAGAACATGAATGAATTTCCAAACGACTATTAACAGTATTTTCTTACTGATTATTCCCTTCTAGACGGGAAAGTTTGAATCTAGAAACGATAATTCCTCAGTGTATACATATGCACAGTATAGTAGCGATAAAGTAGCTAGAACAAAAATGACCGTTAGATAACAAAAATTAGTTTGTTCGAGTAGTCGTAGTATTACTTGAAGATACACTGAAACAAAACTTGTATGGATTTCCATGTTATCTTTATGAATCAATATAGCTACGTATAATATATATTTTAATGCAAACATGTAGAAAACACAGAACAACATCAACAATGAATAATCGGCACATTTTTCATTTCATTCAAAATTCATTGTACTCAGTTAGGATAAGAAAAAATGAGAAAGATTTCTTTAATTCGTGTATGTAAATTAAAATTTTTCTTAAGCAATTTTCTTAAATAACCAGGTTAATAATTCAATTTTTAGAAATACTGTAAAAACTTCATTCAATGCTATTTCAATGTTTGTTTTAAATTAAGATTTTTACTTTTCAATTTGACTACTTGTTAAATTTCAATTAAAATTGACCTCCTTTTTTCCTACGATAAGCATCGAAAATTGTAATAAAAATAAGCAAAAAAGTATGATTTTCTTCAAACTTTATTTCTTAACATTTTCAAAAGCTTCATTTGAACTCAAATGAAAAAATTTCTTTTATTGAATTTCTCCATCATGATAGTTCTTCGTTTTTCTCCTTTTTTTTTGTATCACATACAGTTTTATGAAGCTATATAAAATTGAAAAGAATGAATAGCACAAGCTTCACATGTCCTTTTTTTGCCACAATTATTCAAAGTAAACAGAAAAGTTCGTTCCAACAGTTCATATTCAGACAAAAGAAACGATATTAATAGATTTACATATTTTTAAATATAATATAATTAAATTGAAATTTCAAAGAAATTCACAAGACTGCCCAAAAATATTCTTTTTAGCGGTATTCAAAAAAAAAGACGCTTTAGCCAGTGCTAATCAAAATGTTAGAAAATACATTCGATGAATATCATTGCTCTTCTTACAATATCTCGATACCGGTAATAGGCGTTCATCAGCAAGTAAATAGAAAACGATGACACGGTATCATCAATGTATACATATCTCATCAGAAAGCCAATCAAGTGTTCACCTAACGATCATCGTCGCCGTCGTCATTTCGTCACATATTGAATATTACACAAGGAAAAAGTCTATTATTCTTTTGTTTTCTTTTCACCCCTATTTTCAATATACACAAGAGAGAAAATTGATTAAACAAAATCATCACATTGTATGACTGTTTACAGGTGTGTATTTATTGAATAAATGAAATTGAATTATCAATCGCTTCGCTTTTTCTTTCTCGTTCCTATTTTCTTACAATTACTCTGAAGAAGAAGAGAGAAAAAAGAAAAGCTGTTGACTTCCTAAGACTTCGCTACGTCGGTCAGAATCGATTGAAACAAAACAATCATCGCACTTATTTTCATTTCTTGCAACTGACTGTATGGTGTATATATATATATATATATATATGAGCGTGTGTACGAGAATAGAAGAATAAAAAGACAAGCAAAAAAAAAGAATCAAAAAAAAAAGAAAGAATTTATACAGATTTGTTCGGGCTTGTAATTGTTGACAATGATGATTCCGATGAAGATTTATTTGGATCCATTGATGATCGTTGTTGCAGAGCATATAGAGCATCGGCAGCCGTTGTTGTTAAATAAGGTGAATACCATAGAGAATGATGTAGATTACCAACACCGGTAGCAGCATGATGATGTTGAAGTAATCGATGAACAGCAGCAATATTACCTTGTTGTTCAAGAAATTCCAAGCTGACCGCAGCTTGCCGTTTCCATTTAGTTCTACAAAAATAAAAAAAAGATATCACTATTTAAGTTTTCTTTTACATAATAATAATAATAATAAACCTTCGATTTTGATACCATGTTTTCACTTGTGTATCAGATAGACTAAGACGAGCAGCAAGTTCCATACGATCTTGTACACTAAGATATTTTTGTCGTTCGAAACTTTTTTCTAAACAATTTAATTGTTGATCTGTAAATGCTGTGCGCGCTTTGCGTGGCTTCTTATTGGTTTTTAATGAGCCATTATGCATAACATGACCGCCACCACTGTCCGATGTACTTGTCTCTTCACCAATGTCAGAATCTATTTTTTAGCAAAACGAAAAATAAGACAAATGGTTTCATTTAGCAGCAAGAAAGCAAAACTCGCAGTACTATAATGATTGGTTAAAAATGACTATTGGATAAAAATATCTTCTTTGTTTAGAGCAACAGATTTTTAGAAAATTTGTCAAGAAATAAAAATGATCTTGCTAAGATATCTTTCACTCAATATATTATTCATTATCGTTAAGTCGATGAATAAGCTATTAAGCACGAAACGAACTAGAGTAACATTTAAACACAACTAGTTAGCAATTCTTTCGGTTGTAGCAATCATTCATCTTGTTCTATGTCAAAACCTATCATGTTCATTCATAGTTCATTCTTTTTTAGACAAATCGATGGAATCATGTTATAGGAACTTTAAAAAGCAAAACTTAAATTTTCACTTACCATTGTCATCACTGTCATGTAACATTGTATCATCATCATCATCACCACTTTCTCCATCTTTGCCCATGCTTGATAGAGGATGATGTTCATTATTATTGTTAGTATTAGCAGATGCTGGTGATGGTGAACGACTATGATTACCGAGAATATCGGTAATGAAAAACGAAGTACAACATCGTCGTTTAGCTTTCAATGGTGTCGATAGTGCTGATGGTCGAATCATGTTCGGTGGCAAGAGAAAGAAACTGGTTGTCGAAGCCATTCGAGTTTCTGTAATCGGGCGTGACAAGAAATGTAATTGGAAAAATTTAAATGTATACTGTGTTCTTGTTCGCTCTCTCTCTCTTTCTCTCTGTGTGTGTGTCTCTCTCTCTCTCTCTCTTTATAATCTTGTTGCCTATTGGTTGAAAGCGGCAAAAAAGGGGAAAAAGTGAATGACTCGCTACCTTGTCTTTTTCTCTTGTTCTTTCTCTCTTCTCATTGTCGATCATCTCTCTTGAGACTTTTTTTCGATCGCAAATTGTTTTCTTTAACATCGATCAAATATGCTCTCTGTTTTGCTCATTTCATCATCAACTCTCTCTCTCTCTCTGTTCCTCTCTTTCTTTTACAAATGTGTTCGATTTTCTTTTCTCTTTTGCACGCACCAAGATTGATGTTCATCGTCGTCGTCTATGTCGTTCAATTGACTCTATTAGATAGAAACTAGTAGTTATCAACGAAGAATAACTAAAAAAGAAAGACGATGCGGAAAGAGAAACATACATATAAAAATAAACTGATTAAGATTAGAGCCATCTCGAGTGAGACAAAGAGTCGAACGGATTGGCAGGAGATTTCAAGTGAAGAAAATGATGATGCGAGTGGATAGATTTGGTGAACCGTGCCGATTCGAGTCTTACACAAACTAGAAAATGTTAAAATACAAAGAAACAAAGAAAGGAAGGAAACTCAATATATTTCATATATATATAAATAATTTTGTTTCTTTAGTTAAAAAAACAGGTGATAGACCTTTTTTTTCCTTCTTTTCATCATCATCCATTTAATCATCTTTTCAAGTACTATAGTCGATTCACTTCTCCTAGATATGGTTTCTCGTCTTAGTTTTCTTTTTAATATATGCATCAATCTGATCATTACCTCATTATAAATCGTGTTTTTTTCCTTTCTTTGTTTATGAAAGAAAAATACTAACAAAAATACATCGATGGATTCAATTTTAAATTAATTCTTTTCTTTTTATATACGTATATGTGTATATATATAAAGATGATTGTGTGTGTGTGTGTGCGTTAATTAGTGTCAAATTAGCCTATGCTTGAACTATTAAAACAATACAGCAACAAGTTAGTTTCTATATGTATGAATGTATGTGTCACCGCCTGTCCATCTGCTGGTGTTGCTTAACTTCAAACAGATAGATAAAAATCCTGGAGGGGTTGATGATGCTAAAAAATAACCGAAACGAGAAAGGAAGAGAGCGAGAGAAAGAAACATCAAGAAAAAGAGCTAAATTTATGATAACAAGTGCACGCGACCCGATCATTTGTAATGGATCTGTTGCACATAGTATATAAGTTGCTAATCTGTTTAAAGCAACACAGTTTTGTTTTTTTCTTTGGTGTGTAGTGAATATGGGCACGCGCGCGTTCATCACCATCAACGATGATCAATTTTGAGATGGCACGCTATCTGTCTATCGATTTCTTTGTCTATTTCGTCTATTCAGGTGAAACAAATTGAATCGGAACGAGTCTTTGGGGGAAACAACGAGAAAAAAGAGAGAAAATGACAGGTGCGATGATTGTTCGCATTTATATCTTAGTGTCGAGTCTCATGATAGACTACTTCCGATGTTCGTTGCTTTTGTAATAATGACACGATTTTTTAATTCGATAACGATGATCGATTGAATCTATGTAAACGAGTTCAAGATAGTACGAGCTACTTGATGTGGCTCATTTCCTGTTATGATTAAACCGTTTGATAGTATCAAATAGGAATTCATCTGTCTCTTCTATCACCATTCTTTATAAAGATTTAAAAGAATATATAAATCAGCTTCCTATCAATAAATGTTCAACATATTTCTATTCAAACGAAAAACAAAACAGCAGCTAATTGTCTTGTACATCATTGTTTTAAAATTCATAGATCATTGAGCTTGATAATTAAAAAAGAAAAAACAAAATTTGAAACATGCCTTGGTAATTTCTCATTATCACTCACACAATATAAAAGAATCGACACTTTTAGAAAAAACAGATTTTGTCTGTCTTCATTCATAGAAACGAACGAGAGAAATAAACATTGTTAGAAGTGAATCAAATTAAAAATAAATAGAAAAGTTTATTTGTCATTCAAGTAGCGATATTCAGAATGCTAAAGAAAAGACACATTGCCTCCATAAAGAACAAGGAGAAAAAATGTACTCTTTGATGACTAATAAAAACTTTACAGCTAATCTGACAATCATTCATATTTTACTACACGTTGCTTTCTCTCTTGCTATTACTTAATATAGTCATTCATTTGATCGTAACACGTCTCTCTTGAATCGAGAGCCCAAGGCTTTCTTCTTTTTGTGCGGCTTAATTTGTTTGTAAGTTGGATTGAGTGATACACACGAAAACAAGAAACAAAAAAAAAGGAATGTGATACATTAAATGACACCTTATGTTCGTTCATTCGACCGTTCAACGAACAAACGATAATAATCAATGTGTGACATTAACTACGAATATCGACAATCAATAAACATTAAAAGAACAACAACAGAAAGAAAGAAACAATTCAGGTGACTTATGTCCTTGATTAAATTCACCTGCTTGATGAATGTCAATCTGTATATTAGTACAATTAATATAATCAAAGAGAAAAAGAAACCTAATGTATGTCTATCCTATGATCATCATCCATTGAGCAGTTGTACAAGCACGAGCAAGTCTATCAATCGATTATTATTAATCGAATAACTAGCAGCACCTTCAAAGTGTCAATCCGATTCGAATTAACACAATAGACAATGTACAAAAAGAACATGATGAGAAAATTATTTTCATTTGAACAGAAAAAAGGAAAGATACAACGTTGATTTTTCTGATTTGCATATCATAAACATATGTAATGAAGAGAATAAAAAGAAAAAGAAATGAGTGTGCAAAGAAGAGCAACTATTGATTAAGTGATCGATCAATCTTTATTTGTAATGATATAGACATATACATATATATATATAAATTTCTGTTACACGATCAATGAAAAGGGAAAGCCGGAAATTGGATATATATATATAAATAATTTTTCAAAGAACTTTTTTTCATATTCAAATTGATCCGTTTTCTTCTTCCATAATAAATTTAAACTGCCAATCATTTTCAGTTCTTTTTATTCCTCTTTTTTGTCTACACCAATCAAGTGAATGTGCGCGCTCACGCATTTGTTGAAGGAAAAAAACGCGAGAGAGAATGTGTGTAAAATGTCAATTATCTGCTCTCTTTTCTCAGTCGTTCTTTGTATGTCGCTGCAAATGAAAGAAATCCTACTTGCCACACTAGAGAAATAAAACAAAAAGAAAAAAAAGAAAGAGAAGAAGAAGAAGAAGAAAAGAGAACAACAGTAGAAGTGAGAGGGAGAGAGAGAGAGAGACTGAGTGAGACAAAGAAATCGTTGTATTGCGTTCGTTATTCTCAAAATTATTCTTTTTGATTGACCCGACTCACTTTCAATAAGCGAATAAAAAATGACAATGGCTAAACAACGTCGTTCATTTTTTGTTGATGATATTTTACATAAGGTAATGCCAGTAAACGCAAGTTGCACCGTCGAAAGCAGTGATCGGAAACGTAAACGATCAATCATGCCTGAAGATGATCACAGGAAACAAAATGAAAGTATTAAAGATGAAATATTAAATAAAAAATTTCGATCCTATAACAACGATGTAAAACATGATAATGATAATGATAATGATGATGATGATGATGATGACGAAGACGAAGACGAAGATGATAATGGAGTGCCTAAAGATTTACCAATAGTCAATGTGCCAGGAGATGGTGGAGGTACTGGTGACGAATCATCGAACAGTGATGATAGCAATAGTGTTAATCATTATAGTGGTAAGTTGAATCGTAGACATTTGTGATAGATGAACTTGATGATTTTTCTTACACATAATAGAGAGACGTAAGCGTAAAATGGAAATGTTAATCTGATAGATTTAGAGAGATTTGACAAGAGAATCATTGAAAATGTTAAGAAGATATTTTCATTGTATAGATTTGAAAAATATTAGATCTACATTCAAAAATCAATTTTTATGGGATACTATTGTGTTGAAACTATGATTGACTTGAATGATTATTGGTTCATTTATTTAGATGATGATTTATGTGCATCAAGTTCATGTTTGGCGGCGATTAACTTACGAAAAAATAAAAAACAACGTAAACCACGCACAGCTTTCACTGATGCGCAATTGAACACTCTAGAGAAAAATTTTGAAAGACAAAAATATTTAAGTGTACAAGAACGATTGGAACTCGCCAATCGTCTTAATCTTTCGGATACACAAGTTAAAACATGGTATCAAAATCGAAGGTAACTACCAGTGCACTAGTTTTGTTTTGTTTTTGTAAATATTCATTGTAAATTCTTAGGACTAAGTGGAAACGACAAGCATGTCTTGGTCTCGAATTATTTGCTGGTGCCACATTGCAACGTTGGATTCAACGACAACCACATTTACTTGCTGCCGCTGCCGCTGCTGCATATCGGCCATCGGCCGATGCGGCCAGTGCGATGGGCCCATTTGGTTCAGCTTTATTAACAGAAGCCAAAGCAGCAGTAACAGCCAATACTAATACTCATCTATTTTCCCCAGCGTCTCTGAGTTTTCATCGCCAAGAATAAATAATATTTTTCAATGACTTCGAGAATTGTACAATGGAGTTTTAGAGAGAAGAAAAAACTTGATATAAACTTTCATCTAATCTCTTTCAGCATATGTTTTTTATGAAATTCCTCTTTATAATATGTTCTTTGCTTTGATGTGTCTTTAATCGAGATGCTCTTTACTAAAATTTTGACGTCAACGATTTGAATTATGTCACGATTGAATGTTTTTCTCTTTTGACTATAGATTTAACCTAGCGCGTGCGTGTGTGTGTGTGTGTGTGCGTGCGTCCGAAATAAAATTCTATTTCAGTTTCTTAAATTTATTTTCACGTTTAACACAATTCACAACTGACTGATCGATTGTATTATCTAGCTTTTTATTTTTATTTCATTTATTCAAAAGTTTGAAAATCAACAAAAAAGTTTTAAGTGTTCCGTAAAGTTTACTTTTCTACAGCACTTGAATTTTCTTTAATAATTTGTTTCTTCAAATATAAAGTAAAAGAAATATTTATATTATGCATTTTTGATACACAAAAACTCTAAGCTAAAACTTATACCATAGCATTCATTCAAGTTTACATTAGTAGAAAATCCATACTGTATGTAAAAATAGAAATTTAAAATATAGATTTAACAACTAGAAAAAGATTTCATATTGAGAAAAAAAGATAGAAGTGACATATGGTTTAGTTTCGTTTCATCGAATAATGAAGACTAATTAATTGATTTTTCTGCTTCATCGACTCGTTTATTTAGTATTGTTGTATAGAGACAAGAGAGTAGATTTTCTTTCTAGTAATAATTCGATAGTTCATAAAATAGCGAGAACAGGGCGTTGTAATATAAAGAAGCCTGCCGCTTACACTAGCATCCACTAATCGAACGTTTCTTGTTTTGGCCTTTGCGTTGATCGTACAGTTCCTTTTGAAAAATATTGAAAAAAATGGCATTACCGTTGAATGGGTTTCTTTTTATTTGTCTGAGACACAATTTCTTTATTCAAATGCTGACATGTCATTTCAAAATAAGTGTACCTAATTTTTTTGTTCTTCAAAACATTAGCCTTATTCATAATTTCGTTAGAAAGAAAAAAGAACAAAGTTATTCACTGAGATTACCAATAACTCAAATTATTGAATAGAACCTTTTTATTTTCATTTTTGCAGGCAGACCTTTATGAAAGATTATATGATTAATCGCAAAATAAAGTTTTCATAGTTTGTTAAATAGTTATATTTATGACGACTATCGACATAAACTGAGAAAAAATAGATACTCTAAGGATATTCATAATGAACTAGAAGCAAGAAAAAAAAAATTTTTCCTAATCTTTAGCAGATTATTAGAGATATTAATCTGCCGTAACTTAAGATAATAACAATCTATAATGAACTTTTGTTTCTCTATAGAATTTCAATCAAGTGTTTAACAAGCAAGTAAATTTATTTCCATCATTTTCACCATTTTTTGACATGCAACATCGTTAAAATGATCTACAAGTCACCGAAACTCCTATGTAAACAGTAGGCAACCAAAGAACTACAATATACATATGAGCAGGAATTATTACAAATATTGTTTACGAGTTTCAATATCAGTATTCTCTTAACTATTAATCCCGTGGTAAATACTTCAATGTAGTATTATGCTAACAGCTTTTTTTCCCTGTAGAACTATCAATGTAGTAATTTTGTTCTTTTTTGATTTTATAAATTTAAATTTTTTGAAAAATACATAGACACGCGATTTTTATTAATGGTCAAGATTCATTAGCAATGCAGTTGCTCGTTTGATCCAATGTTCTACTGGCATAGAACCAGTTTTAAGTTCGACTGCAACAATAAATGGTCCGACTCGACTAGATGAATAATAGCATGGAGCAATATAAAAACCTGAAAATCATCCGTTAATTATAGCTTTTGAGAAATGCAACACATAGGAAAGTGTTACCTTTGGCCGATTTTTTCTTATGCTCGACAGGTTTAAAATGTATAGTGGGTATGATTGTTACGAGTTCCATAGATTTTGCTTCACATAATGTTCCCTGTTTTCGATCCCAACCAGCTCCTTCTAAATACAATCCAGTTACATAGACACCATCGTCTATATTCGATAGATATTTATCTTCTGTTTGATTAACTTCAAACTCCCACGACAATTGATCAATTCCGATCTATGAGTTGATAAAAAACAAAAGACTTATTTCACCAAAAATCAAAATACACAAACTTGATCTTTTCGTGCCGTTCTTTGAAGAATAGTAGTGAGGAAAGCTGTTGGATAGGAAAATGCTGATATCCAGTAGACAATAGGCTGGCGTTGATTTTCAATCCATGATTTAAAAAAATTTATACGTTGACGTAAATCTTGAAACCAAGCCGGAAGTGGCTTCAATGATCGATAGGTCTGATAGAAAAACAATTGAAATATTTTCTTGATTTAAAAAAACACATTTTACTCGTTGCCAAGCATATGGAAGTCGTCCTTCATAAATACATTTGAACAATTCATCAAGTTCAACAGTCATAACAACAAAACCTTCGATACTTTTCAACAGATCATTTAATGCAATTGTGATATTTAACAAAAGTGTATTGTATCGTTCAGCCTATAGTTGCAATCTTTACTTTCTACATGTTATTAACGAATATTTTACTTCTTGTAAAAGAACAATAGACAATGGTGATGCATCAATTAACATATATTTCTTTACAGCTTCGATATCGATTTCATGTGGCATCAATTTGAGCATTTCACGTGTTGCTTTAGCTACCTGAATTATTGAAGACAAAAATTAACCGATGATTAATAAGTTATTTAACAGAATGTTTCATTCATTTTTTACTCAGCTTCTTAAACGAGGTCTGTAGACTTGTTTCAATAAATATTGAGTTCACTGCAAACGATTCCTATGAACGTCCCACTACTAAAGTGAGCTTAATCATACCAGAATAGTTGCTTTGAAATCCTCCAATCACGTTACAGAGCACTCACCAATAGTGCTGCACAAAAACTAATCAGATATATTACGTACGCACTAGCAACCGACTGAAAGGTTTTCTCCTCTGTACTATTTGTTTACATCAAGTAAACTATTTATTGAATCGGAAATTTTCAATATATTACTTGTTTACCTCGTTTTCAACTTCGTTTTCTACAGTAGCCGATGTTTTTTGTGGTAAAACCATTAACAATGTGTCGAATAAAGTTTTAGATTCTTGAATTTGTGATGCAATATCTGCATTTGGATGTTGTCCGAATGCTTCTGGATGATCTGTTGTAGGCATTGCGTTGATAAAATCTTTATATGATTTAAATGTTCCATCGCGAGGCATGTAGTAATATGCTAATGAGGATAATTTATAGTACGTCACTTCGACAACTTCATTACGAATATACGAATCGATATAAGTCTATTGGCAAAAAACAAAATCAAAATTCAGTTATTTGAACTTTATCTTCTACAAGATTAACAGATTTCTATCTGATTATTTATATTAGTATCTCAACTCAGAAATGCTGTACCACTCGTATTGATGATTTTCGTATATGTGCAGCAATCTCGATCAATTTTCATTGGAAAACTTACATTTAACAATCTCATATCCCATTCATCAGTGCAATGACCACCGTATATAACAATGGCAATAAGATATTTAAGTGCCTCAAATGGAGTTTTATCATGTGTATCTAAATAGATAGCTAGTAGATTTTCTGATATTTGAAAATCTGAATCATTAAATGTATAATGAATGTTCCAGCCGAGTTGTAAGAATTTTTTACGTTCGATAATAATTGAATGAAAAAAAGCTAATGTAAATAAAAGTTTACGATATTTTTCATCTTGTTTCACTCGTTGAAATTGTTCTGGTGTTATTAATTCATATAAACGCTTCATATTTGCCTTGATACCCTAAAGATCAAAAAAACATTAGAAAAATAAAATGATTGATTTTTTTTCTCAACTGACTTTCTGTGATTCATTGGTAATTTTTAAACCAATTTGTAAAATCGAAATTGGAAAATCAATAGTCGGCGACGAACTTAACCACAAACGGAAATCATTATGAACTGCTATTGTTTGTAATTGTTCAACTATTTTCTCTAATTCAGGCAGCCAACTAATTGATAAATGACAATTAGCCAAAAACACCCAATGACCCTATAAGCACGCATATTGAAAAGTCGTTTACAATAATTGTCTACGAACTTTTTTCATGCCCGCTTCCAGTAATTTTCTGGCTCTCGGCGCTTGTCCTTGTCCTAGTGAAAGTGTAAAATATCGAGATTGTGCCATCATTTTATCTTCGGCTAACTGTTGTAATTTGGATGCTGGATCAACACCTGGTGACAATAGAAAAATTAATGGTGAACGTTTATTAGATTCTTCAAGGATAGAAGTTAATTGAAGAATCGGTGGTTCAACAAATTTCGAGCCAATATTTAGGGTAACGAAATTTAATACACAATGCGTAATACGATCGGGACGTAAACAACGAACAATAAGCATACGACCAAATTCTGTAATTAAAGAATCGATCGTGCCTGGTAATGGTGCCTTTTCAGCTTCTTCGGATGTATACCTTAAATAGAGATAATTCAATGAACGTCAGATTAAAAATTGACTCTTGAAGAATTGTATTCTTAACTAAGTAAAAATTTACTTTAGCAATTAAAGGGCTCTGACTAAGAGATATCTGTTGCCATCAATGCGCACCTAGTTTTAGGAAGTTTGATAAAAAATAAACAAATCTTTTAGAAGAACTTGAAAATTTGATATTTGTCGCAACGCAAACAATAACTGACTGTTGAACTCACATAGTACTATTTTATATTTCCTATTGTTTGCATTTAATGATCGCCATAATGGCTTATTCATGAATCACCTGAAGTCTGTACAACACCCTTCGTTTTCTTGATTGAATAGGAATAGAAATAAAAATAATTGCTTACCATTCTTTCCAATCTTTCGGAAATTGATCGAATGAATCGCGTAAAAAACGATAATCAGGTAAACGAATAAGCTCACTCATTTCATCCCATCGTATTTCATTTAACCACACAGGAAATGGGTTAGGAAATTGAGTTTCTCGATCAATCGTTAATGTATGAGCACGGATCAAAAATTGATATTCATCATGATTTATTCGATTTTCAGCATCCATCAGTTTTGTACACATATGGAAAGAAAAAAGAAGTTTGTGACGTTCGAAAACACCCTAAATTAATCTATGTAAGATAAATATGACAATGAACAAAAACGTTTTTCTCTACTCGACATCCATATTTATAAACAGTATAAGTATGATAATCATTTAATTTTTCAATGCGTTCATTTAATTTTAATGATCTAGGACTTTTTTCAATGGATAAAACGAATAATTGAATATAGGCATCAAGTGAATATTGATACATAGGATCAATAGAAGTTAAATCTTGTAAAACAAAAAAGAGTATGGCAGCTCGTTGTGCAACGGACCGATAATTGTCTCGCATTAAATCAATTTTTATTTCTAGATCTTCATTGATTTTTAATGTTTCATTAATATCATTTTGTGATTGTTTGGATAAATCTAATGCTTGAAATACGTTAACATTTTCCAATAAACTTCCTTCGGTTTCGGATAAGAGACGAAGAAATTGTTCTTCTAATATTTCTTTTTCTTTATGTTTATTTGAAATATTTACGATACAATTATCTTTCGAATTTTCTAAGTCAGGTTTTTCTTTTCGTACAACAATACCTTCAAGAAGAAAAAGATTGTGAACATATATTGATATTTTATTTTTACCAAGTAATTGTTCTTCTAAGCCTTGTTCCTTAATAGCAAAATTAATGATATTAATTTTTGAATATATTTCCGGTTTATATTTTGGATTATAAAGACGTGTCGATAAATAAAAACGAAATGATGGATTATAAACAATTTCTCGATCGCCTAATTGAAGAACCAGATTAGAATCTGTACTATTAGTTTTTTTAATTGATTTTAATAGTATTGGATTTAGCGTTTGAGGTATATCTTCATGGATGTTTTGAAATAAACAGGGCCAACCTGTTTTGATACATTCTTCAATTGTTTTCATATAATCACCAACTTGTAAATCAATTATTTTTAATCCATTGGATTTTTCCATTTGTTTTATCCAGTTAGTTGCTTGACTTTGAGGATCAATAACTGAAGAAAACAAACAAACATACTGCGCATTTATTAAAACTCATTCCGTATAGCTATAATTTTACAAGCTCTATATCCTCGTTAGAAGTAATTAAATCAGGAATTATCCAAGTTCTCTCCGAAAAAGGTACTATACGAATTTGATGCTATAGAAAACGAATATCATAATGAAAAAGCATAGGCGCCACTGTCAATTCAAAAACAATGCTTTTCTAATACTGAGCAGTACTAAATGAATGAAGAAGTCTTTGTTTATACGTTTGTAATACTCCGAAGCCATTTGATTTGATAGAATTCAAACTACTGAATTTTACTTCATATGGTTTGAATATTGATTCTATCGATGAAAAACTTACATAGTGGATAAGAAAAAGTACGTGTTGCTAGAATAGCATTTTCTGTTGAGAAATTATCACGTGGTAAACCTTGAATATTCCATTGACGTATAACACTGGGTGTTGTCATAAATTTTGCAAAATTAAAATCCGTCTTAAAATGAATATCATTACGAGTCAACTCTTCTTCCCAAATCTGTTATAGAAAAGTTGTTTTTAGAAAAGTCACTTTCTCTATGAAACGTTTACTTGATGAATAATTTCATCTCGATAGTTAGATAAAAATGGACCCATATAAGATAGAAATGCACAAGCAAGAAGACTATTGCCTAGAAGATTATCAAGATTTTCTTTCAATTCATTTGATGTCGTATCCCATATAGTTCGTTTTTCAGCTACACCATCTAATAATTTTGTTGCTCGATCTAAAAACATAGCCGTTTCATCAGCATTACGTTGCAAAACATCTTTCTCTTTAAGTTTCGATTCATAATCTAAACGTAATTTTTCAATGTTTGTCTGAATATTTAATAATTCATTTTTCGATTGTTCCAATAGATTTTGTTTTTCATTCAATTCAAATAGTGCTTTCTGATAACGGTCTTTTTTCGGTTGGACAATACGATATACACGTGCATAAGATTCAATAGCACGAATCCAAGTACATAGTGCAGTAGCAGCACTCGATACTGTTTTTAATTTTTCCGGCACTAATTCCATATCGTTTATGAATGGTTGCATACGACGAAGTGTTCGATCTGTAATATCATCTTTTGGAAATTTCTACAAAAAAAAGTAGTTTTTATTTGATTAATCTAAATCAAACAAATTCGTGGCTAACAGTGAGTGTTTTAATAAAATCCACATTGGCCAAATCTTTCTTTGCTTCTTCCCATGTGTCTTCTTTGCCCTCTAAAATATAAAATCGAAATTATTCTTGTCTTCTATTCAGCATGAACTCGAGATGTACACGGCGAATAAAATCACTGCATCTGATGAAAACTAGAGAATACTTCCGCTTCTTTCGTAATTAGAAGAAAACTGAGATCTATCGATATGAAATGAATGATGGTGAATCTTACAAAAATATTCGAAAGTCTAACATACTTAAAATCATGAGCGCTTTCATCACTTTCTCCACTTGACTTGGCGGATGAATGTATGCTTTTACTTCGCCAATATCTCGTTTAGTTAATTGTTCTAATGCTTCATTTGCTTTAATCAACAACGGTTCAACTTCAGTGAATTCTTCATGTGCAGCCGCTGCTATAGTTTGACATCGAATTTCTTCTTCGCCAATACGTACGCCAAATGCTTGTACTTGCTATTGAGTTTTGCTTTTCTCTTAGTCAAAAGTCAAACAGACTCAACGATAATCACTTACTCGTTCTCGTTCGCTAGCACTATTTTTTTGTTCAACAATATTGCCTAAAAATTCTTCACATTCTCGTTGTAATTGTGCAACAAGAGCTTTTTTCTTTTCTAATTCCAATGAGATTTCAGCAACTTTTTCTCGAGTTTCAGCTACTTTGATAATACCCATTTGAAGACGATTATATTCATATTGAAGTTTGACTTTTTCTCCTTCGTATAAACTTGAGAAACAAAGTTTGCTGACGAGAAAAAGAACCCTAATCAAATCATTACCGGCTGTAATTACTAACAAATTGAAGATAGTTTGTGGGTGTTATATAGATTTCTCGTCGAAGTTCATCTTTCATTCGTGTAGCTAAAGTTTTTGATGATAAATGAATAAAAGCACAAATATGAGCTAATATCCGATGAGTCTAAAATAATATAATGCTTCAATATTGCGTAAAATAAAAAACATTCATACTCTTTCCGTATGTTGTGATTCAAAATTGTATTTCGATAAAAAGTAATGAGCTACATCAATCAAAGCTTCATGTGACCATTCAGAAAAATTAATAACAGTTGTACAATTAACTAATGCTGGATACATTCGAATATAATTTCTAGAAAATAATATTTTTCAAGTCTTAAACGATTTTTCAAAACAAATATGCATTTAAATCTACCTAAATGTTTCACCATATGGACTCATGCAAATTGCTATGTGTAAGTTAGATTTGACTCGATTGTAAAAAAGTTGCATAACATTGAGATTTGTATCGGGTATGCCTTGTTGCTGAATTATCGACGATAGTTGATTGCGAATCTAGACATGGTACATTAAATTTTCATAATAAAAATGGGATCAAGGTGAACGTTGAAAACATGAAATAAGCGATTTACAAAAGAATATTTCATTAAATTTTTTGATACAGCTTATATATTTGTTAGAAGAAAAAAGAAAGTAATAGAACCTCTTGAATATCTTCATTGCGGAATAAACTTGGCACTTCACCAGTATGTAATAGTGCATTGATATCTTCAAGAAAGAAAGTATCGATGATTTGCGTATCGACAAATAGAAAAACAGTTTCACGATTCGATATTGAACATAATTTCATTAAACGACGTAAATCTAAACAGAGTTATAATCGTATTTTGATATGATTTGAGCTACCTTCTTTAAATTCTGCGTATCCATAACGTCGTCCAATTTCAATTTGAAATATAACAATATCACAAATAAATGCTGCTAAACGTAATAGCGATTGACGGCCACTACCACCAATACCTAATAACAATAAATTGCCACGTGGTCGTCTTAATACACGAGTCATTCGACATATATTTAGAATAGCATCACGAAACATAACTAAATCCATCGCTAACATCAAAGACGTTTCATTATATCTTTGTAAAGATTGTTCTAGAAATAATTTTAATTTATCATAGTCACGAATTTCCTACCGAAAAACACAATACAAAATATTTATAAAGATCACATGGAAATTCTGTTATAACCTCATAAAGACCATCTTTTCTCATAATATCAGAATAAATTGGAGTCTCTCGATTGTAACATACATTGTGATAAACTTGATCAAAATAAAGTCCTAATTTTTCACTTAAGATTTTAATAAATAATTCATGATCACTATTAGTCATGAATCGATCTGAATAAACACGATGTGCTTCATGAATCCATAAACGTAGAAATTCAACTTTAGTTGTAATCGTTGTTCTATTACATAGTAAGAGACCTTCAAACATACGCGATATATCTCGCATATTAAATGTCTTAAAGCAAAAAAAAAAACAATCACCATTAATCAATGCTCGAGAACTAGTTTAGATAGAGAACGGATCGAATTATTAGATGAATCCAGATACCATGTCATCATCATAAAAGTGACAACGGTGGACTCCTAATGCCCATGGTCATCTATGACTAGGTTCAAATGGTTACCCCTTTTACTGTAAGATTTTCTTTATTTTTACATAATGTATTTTGGTCGGCGTCGGTAAATATTTGTTTTCAATTGTTTGGTAAAGATCAATAGTTGCTTTTGTCACTGTTTGATCAAGATGTTTCACTTCATCGTCAAAACGTTGTAGTTGTTGGCTAAGCATTGTTCCGAATATTCGACCGATTTCATGATTCTAATTGAATATGTCAAGTCAAACAACGATTTAGAAGTTTAGTTTTTTTTTTACAAATGGGAATGTCATGTTGATAAGATTAAATCGACTTTGTAGTCGTTGTGATATTTGATGACGACCACCGCCTGGTGGACCCATCGCTGTTAGTAAACACATGTCCTGCGAGAAATAGAATAGTAAAATCCAGATGTCTAGTTTTTACTAACTTTGATGAATTTTATTCCCTGGGTTTTTCGATCATACCAAAATTCATAATCGATCCACATTCGACTAATTGTTTTAAAAAGAAAATCCTTGTTTTTGAGCTACATGAAAAATATTTCAATATTCTTTACATTAGCTCGAGTGATGGTTGAGAACCATATGTCTCCTAAATAGAATTATTCAGTTGTTATTATCATTACTGAGTAGTTTTACTTTATTTGGCATATTCAGATCGTCGATTAATGTAATCATCTGTTTTCCATTCATAGGAACAAATATAGTTTTAGCTCGTTTTTCTAGATTTATTTCAAACATATCTTGTAACATTTTTGGCGTTGTCTATTTGTTTTCAGAAAGAAAAGAAATTTGCAAAACAAAACATAAACACATTAGTTCATATATTTACTTGAGCAGACATATGAATCATTAGTGTATTATATAGATTTGAGTCAAGTTTTTTAAGAACATTTTCCACTATTGTTGTTTTACCCGTACCAATAGCACCGACCAGTAACACTTGATGTTTATTGAGCAATAGATTATAAATTAGATATTCATAACGAATCGTATCAACATTTGGTACAATTATTTTATAAAACGGAATTCTGTATGAAAATATAAACATTCAAAAGAATGAAGCAATCTTTTAACATAAACTATGCATTTGCCTCGAGAGTGCAGCGTTTTATTCTTCAATCTACATGCACACACTCAATTCACGAGGTTCATTTTAGATAGTAAATAGCACGATTCCTTTACGACTAGACAGGGCCCCAGAAGTTAGAACATTACTCGGAATTATAAGTCCATCCTTCTTTAAGTTGCTCTTCCCAATGTATCCATGTCCGATTATGTGCGTCAACATAAAATTCGAATACCGTATCTTTATTAGGAAATGTACCTATTATCATTTTTTTATAGACATTTTCGTCGGCAAATTTAAGAAAAATTTTACCTTCGGTTTCACGAAAAAAAATATCAATTTTTTTCCTTCCTTCATCATTAACACTGGCAGCAATAGACCACATTAAACAAAATACAAACCACATTTCAATCAACCTTCCTGATATAGCTTCATTTTCATTTATTTGTATTTGTATTTCATTTGTATACCAAAAGGTATCAAATAATTTTGTTAATGAAATAATTCCATTCAATTCATGGATAGGAATCAATTCTTTACAATAAATATGTTTATATTTCATGATAGGTTCTAAATATTTAGTTATACAATTTGAAAGTTCTGTTTGAAGATCCTATATATATATATATATATATATTAAAATCATACAAAATTTAGTTTCATCTTTTTTCAAAAGGCAAATATCTATTTGAATTTCTTTTCTTTTCATAGTCACCTGAGACTCTCTTTGTCTTAACCATGATTCTAGATAAGGTTTCCATCTTAATTTTTCATAATCACAATAGACAATGCCTGCTCGAGAGACAGTTGCTGGTGAAGCTGTTGATAAATCTTCTGTTTCAAATAATAGTGTTACTTGCGATGGCATTGATATACGTTCTCCGTTAGCTAATGTCAACAGTTTATTGTCATCCATTAATGAATTCATTGATTCAATCCATGATGTATCAACGGGAGCATCAAACAAAATCAATTTTTCATCAGGTTTTTCATCTAAATTAATTCACAAAAATAATTAGTTGTACACTCAATTAAAACTATTGAATCATCTTTTAGATTTTTATGTGTTGGATTTCTCTCTGAAAATTATCCTTTTCTCTTTATAAAAGTGAAGATTCAAGGAAAATCATATAATTTTTGAAAGATAAAAATGTATTTGTTGTGAAAATCAGAATGGATAGTTCAAATAAAATGATCGATGAGGTGAAACATTTTCCTTACTAAATGTGAACTAACCGGCACAAACTTGTCTCATAATTGTACTGAGAATTCCATCGTTCCATTCATTTGTCGCTAGATTGAATTGCCCATAAAGTTCGCCTAAACTAACAGCCTTTGGATTGATAGGATATTCCTAAATAAAAATAAATAAATTTTGCAACATGAGATTAATCTTAAGTTCTTAAATAAGACTATAATTTAGATATTTCATATCTTTAAAAGACGCCATCCTTATGCACTCTACGGATCGAATGATCTCAAATACTTCAATATTCTGTTCAGATTGAATTTCAATCCTACCACAACTTTATTGTATTCATTCAATCCTTGCTTATTTAATGTTGTTAAAGAATATTTCAATAGCTTCCATGTTGTAGTTTTTCCAGATAAAGTTTTACCAACAAGCATAACTGAATGTCGCGAGTGATGTGTTTCATATAATTGAATAACTTTCTCTATAGATATTTGTGTTATTTGTAAATTATGTATATTCATTTCATTTTCTATAGCTTCGATTAGCTAATCAAACGAGAAGAAAAAATTGCAACTTAAAGATAATAATCAAATCAGACTTTTGAATAATCAATTTTCGGTAGATCGGTGCCAGGAAATAAATCTCCAAGAATATTTTGAAATAGGGGTAAATCTTGTGCAGTCATTTTTGGTGCATTCATATCAAGCATTGATAAAAGAAGAACCTATGACAGGGAAAAGACGCTATGTTAAAATCTTAATTGAATATTATTCTTTACTTCGTTATCTGTCATTTTAATATTTGTCCGTTTTTTTTCACCAGCGTATCTCAAGACAGCCTTTGAAATAAAATAACAATGCTTTTTAAAATTATCCATTGAAAGCAAAATGACTCCACTACTGTTAATGATCTCAGACCAAAATCATAATGATCTTGTTTAGAAAGTTGTTGCGTAGATAATTGATAAAGTGTATAAACTTTACGAGCTAAATTCTAAAAAATAAACTATATCGCATGAATTTCTCTTTTACGCAATTGTTTACTCTTGTTTTTTGAAATCCTTCGCTGAAGAGAAAATTTTCTGCTATATAAACTGAATCCGGTACAACCATTGATACTGGCCGAAACATTGATTTAAGATTATCAGGTAATTCAGTTCGACCAGCGTAACCTTAATAATGATCATTTACTTTTCGTGAAAGAAAATATTCAAAAGAAAAACCTGGATTCATTGTAATAAAAATGCCAACTTGTGGTAATAGAGGAATTTCTTTGCCTTCGAATACAAATCGTTTTTGTTTCAAAGATAAAGCTGTTAGTATTGAATGAATTTGTTGAGCAACAACTGATAATACTTCGATATTAATACGATTGAATCTAATATATGACGAGTGAAAACTGTCTTGATTTAATAGTAAATAGCTTACTCATCAAAGCATCCCCACGTGCCACTCTGCATAATATAATGTCAAGGGGTTCTTTTTTAATATTTATACTAAACTAAATACAAACCTGAGCAAAACCTGAAAACATTTTCCCCATCGATTTGTAATCAAGTGATTCCGAACAATTTTGAACGACAACATAAATAGCAAAAGTTTTTCCTAGATCTTTGATTGTTTCGGTTTTACCAGTGCCTGGAAAAAACAATATCAATGATGATTTTTCTTTTACAGGAAGTAATTAGTATGCGTTGAGATTAAAAGTTAAATACGATGTTACACACCCGCTGGTCCTTTGGAACTTCCACCGCGAAATAAATGTAGAGCAGTTGTAAGAGTTATATAACATCGATCAGTCAATGGCGAAATAACTAAACGACTTGTACAGCCCAAATATTCCTATTTTGAAACGTTTAATGTAATATATTAGCTGCTTTCAAAACATCCTAGATAGCGATTGTGTAGAGCGCTGTTTTTTTTCGGCAAAACTAAATGTGTATCCTGCAAAAATGAGATGCTCTGATTTTGATAACTTCTAAGTAATTTTCTTTTAGTGACGGAAACGTGAGCGACTATTATGTCCCTAGATTTTCGCACTATGGGCAAGTATAGAATAAATAGCTACGTAGTAATAAGTAAATTTCGTAATTGTTTGTCGAATAATACAATCTTCGTTTTGTTCATGTCGTTCCCAATAGAATCTTAATTGCATTTGCCATTCAAACGATTGAATATCCATTGTTTGAGTTTTAATTAGTCGTTCGATAACATCACGTCCGTGTACTTCTTTAGTAATAACGCCAACAACACGAAGACGAATTATTTTATCAAGTGGCAGGCGACTCATATTAGAATATCGATCAAGAATTTTGACCTATGATTAATTAAAATAAGAACAATACATGAAGTTCCTTGGACACTGATGGGTACTTTCAGGTCAAGAATAGCTATGCTTACTTGGGTACGAAATAATATTTTCAATGGTTTTAAACTTCCATCTGCTTGACAATTTAATAAAGCTTTTGCTGTTGCTGATGTCCATTCAATTTCACTAGCAGTTACACAACATTGACTAGGCCAATCTTTAACCCATTTATCACGTTTTTTTAGTTGTACTTTAAGTGCAATTAAAGAATTTTTTAAATATTCTTTTACGGTAATTTGCATTTTAAGTTCCAATTCGTTTAGCCAATTTTCAACATTACCTTCCAGAGATAAAGCTGATATTAAATTAATTTGCTCGTCTTCATTGGATAGAATTCCATTGGCTAGAATATTTTTTTTAACTAATAAACGTAAACTTTTAATATTATCAAATAGTTTTTTTAAATGTATTTGAATGAGTTCAGGTTGACGTGAAAGACTAAGAATTTCGACTAGTTCTTCATTCGAAATAAAATAGAAACGAGGAAATATTGAACGTTTTGTTTCTAAATAATCTTCCATTTTTTTCTGAATATTTTCTAAATATTTTAATAAATTTTGAATCTTATCAAATAAATCTAAATCAAAATAATAAAAACATATTTTCTATCAAATTTTTATTTTTTCTACAAACTCAGTTTCGTTGCAGCAAATAATGAATTTGGATTTTCTCGAATTTTCTCGATAATTTCATCTTGCCAAATTACATTTACGTGTTTGAATTCATTTGTTTCATGTGATAACTGTCGTTGAACATCATCGGAAGTAAATATGCCTTCCATATATAACCATTGTCGTTGGACATTAAATAAGCCATCACACAGTTCTGATATTTGAGCTATGGATTTTTCCCAATAATCAATTTCATGTTGAAATGGTTTTACATAACGTGCGCCTTTTATTGTAGAGATTTGAGCTGTATGTTCTTCAACATATTGAATTATCTCGTCAGGAGCTCTATAGATAGAAGACAGGAAAAAGAAATACGGAATTTCGGATGCGACAAAAAAAGTAGCAATTCACTCTTATTGCTCATCACGATACAGACCGTTTCTAGATTTGATTTTTTTCAAATGTTATTCACTCAGTTACCGTAGAACCTCATTAGACTTTCATTGAGTTTACGACAAAATATCGTCGAGATTCTATCCCACGGCGTATCTGATAAAATCTATTCTTCTCCTGAATCTCATACTTTATCTTAAAAACATTTGTTTTATGCATTGCTGTTTCAAATTTCATCTCATTCCATATTTGAACAATTTTTTCTAATATTCGTTCAATTGAATATTCTTTCGATGCATTTTCTGATATTTCAGTAATCAATTGAATATTGTCTTCACTAGAAATTAACAAAACAATAAATATTAAATTCTACAATTTTCTTTTCTATGTCGATGATTACAAATGTAAACTGAGAATTTCTTCTAGTGTAAATTGATTTGATTTATAATCAAAATATTTTTCTGTTTCATATTTTATTTGTTCCCAATGACGAGAACGCAAATGTGGATTATGCAGAGATTCGATTAAAGGTAATATACGACGAAATGTATCAACACGATTACGAAGATTATCAAGAATGTTCCAGTTTTTTTCCTAAATAATTATATTTTTTGGAGCTAAGCATACACAAAAATATTTACTTTATATTCTCGTGACATTTTAAGTAACTTTTTATGTTGATTTTGAGCGAAATCATTTAATTCAATCATATTTATTTGATCGAATTTAGTTGTTTTCCATTTATTTAACATTTCTTCATATTCTTTAGCTATCAACCATATAGATTTAAGTATTTCAATATCCTACAAAATTTGTTTTTCTAAATTTCAAAAGTAAACATCAAGAAGTCAAAATAACCTTTTTAAGATTTGGTAATTCTTTAGAAAAATTCATATCTAAATTAAAAATACGATAAGCAATTTTTAATCGTTTTTCATCATTTTCCATGTTTTTAATATATTCTTCGATTTCTTCGCATTGATTCAAAGCAACCCACACGGGTATATCTGCTTGATGGGGACCAGTGATTTTAAAAGATTTTTGTAATTCAAATATTTCATTGACAGTTTTTTCTTGTTCTTTGTGTAATTGAATTTTAAAAGCTTCCTGAAAATCAACGAAGCCGAATGAAAGAGATCTGTGGGAGATTTAGAATTTCTTTACTTTAATACGTTTAAATGAGACTACTGATTCATCGAGGAACATTTTATAATTATTCCAAATATGAGATAACGAGCGATGTTGTTCTAAAAGCTGCAAAGAATACTGAATTCGATTGATAAATATCTATGATAAAAACTAACTTTAGGATCAATTTCAATTTCATATCGGAGTAATAAAGCAACTTCTTCATTGATTAAAGGTAATCTAGATTCGATTTTTAATACATCTGTCTTAAGTTCATCGATAAATTGTTGATAGGTTGGAATTTCATCATATATTTTTGGAAGAATATTTATTCTAAACAAACATCAAGAATATATATCACAAGGGAAATAAAAAAAATTAGTATAGAGAGAGAGTTACTCTGTTTTAGTAGGAAAAAATGCTTGAGATACATATTAAAAAATATGCCTGGTACGTACATCAATGCTTATGCAATGGAACATTTTGTCATTCACAGAATGTCAACATGTATGAAAACGCATATGTTTGATTCGACTTACTTTTCTGTATTGTCTTTAATTAATGTCGATATCATTTGAAGATCTTTTTCTAATCGAACCAATACAATTTGTATTAAACTTTGTTGCCATTCATGACAAATCTGTACTAATGATACTTTAAATGATGAGCAATCGATTTGTATCATATTTAGATTAACAATTGCTTCTTGATTATTTATATTATTAGCTACTTCTGTATACCTATGATTTAGAAATCCGAATAAAACCATTCGTTGTTGTGTTTTGAATGAAAAATAGAAAACAATTTACCGAGCTATGTCCGCTTCTAAACCTTGTAAGTCAGTATGTTCAGATTCATAAACAGCAATAAAACTTTCTTTATCCACTTCCCATAATTGACGAAAATGAAACCAATTATTGTCAACATATTTCTCAATTTCTGATATTGCATTACTAATACCTAAAGCAATTTTATTTTGTAAGTTTTGTTTTATTGGATAATTATCAATCACAACATGATAAGACTAGAATATAAAATATATGTAGACTATATAAAAAAAAAACTACATTTTCATCATTCAATCACTTCTCTTTGAAATGGGTAATAAGAAAAAAGATCACATAGACGTCCAAAATTTTGAATTGATTCAGTTAATTGTATTTTGCTTACTTCATTTAACGTTTCAGTTAATTGTTCGAGTGATGGTTGAAAACGCAACTATATGATTTTTGTATTATGGATAGTTTAATAGAATGAAGTACTTACCGTATATTTTATATTTCCTATTGTTGTTTCGACTGCGTTTAAACAAAGTTCAATAGTAAGAAAGGGTGTTGGCTTGTTTTGACTATCACCATTGATGACATACGACAGTTGTTCAAGAGAATCGGTTATATTCATGAGAAGAGCTTTTTCAAACATACAATCAATTGAACTTAACCAATGATCCCAACATTGAAGAATCTAAATTGGATTGTGTGTGAGAACGATTTCAAATGGAAAATTCAGCTATCTTTTTTTCTGTAATAATTGATACATGATAGACGAAATCAATTGAATCTGGGCTTGATTGCCATTCTCTTTCGATATATACAAAAAAAACAGTTCCAATAATTGAATGTACGAGTTTTATGTAGACTCAAAGGTCGATGAAAGCTCAGGAAAATGAGTATTTTCCTTAAATGTATTGCTTCGGTGGCACTAAAAGCGCAGCAAATCTTTAAATATCACATTGTGATTCATTAGAGCTATCCCAAAACTTGACGACCAACGATCATATTCAATCAAGTACATTGATCTGCACTCAAATTAACCACTAAAAGTACGATGCATTACCTTATCCGGATCATCTTTGAATATCATCTGTTGCACACGAATGCCCAATGCAATTTCTCCGTACACGTCATTGATCGAATGTTGACTTGCTTGATTAACCGATTTCTAATTTTGTTTTTCCAAAAATAGAATTTAAAATTCATTCAATAGCAAAATCTTACAAGTAAATCCGTAAATGTTGTATAATTAAAAATAATACCCGGATCAATTTTAATAAATAATTTTTGACTAATAGTAACGCATTTCGCACAAGATTTAACATAATTTTCTTTGAATAATGTTACCATATTCATAAACTAGTAAATAAAATAAAATTCCGATATTTAAAAGCATGCCAAATTTATTCAACCTGATCAATAATCCGGTTTGCTTCAAGAGCAAAATCATGAAATGTATTTTCATTCACATAGTTCACTCTACCAATAAAGGCCGGTTGTAATTTTTTAAAAATCATTCGAATACGCTCTTCAAATAGACACAATTCTTGATCGGCAAGAGACTCGATCGTTCTAAAAGACAATTTATTAAAAATGAAATTTCCATTTTCTTTATTTTTGCTACTTATTAAATTTTCGAATAAATCCATGTGTTTCTTCTTTCATTTGTCGATAAGATTTTCTCGTATTATAAACATCAGTTAAAGAAAAAGGTATTTCATAATTCAATCTGATCCACCATACACTTTCATTCAATGCAATAGTTATTTGTGGATCAAAATAAACATCAATAAAATGTTTTTTTTCAGTATTTTCTTTTAAAAATGGTTTTTGTAATAATTTTTTAGGTTGCAATTCACTTGCTGTCGTCCACCATTCTTGATAGATCCGTTTTTGAATGTTCTCAGCAAAGATTAATAATTTTTCATAGGCTAATTTGATTTCATTTCTTTGTAGGACAAATGGCAAATTTGATGATTGGTTAAGAAGATGATAACTGTTAGTGATACGTTCGATTAAACTATTAATCCACATAGCTTTGGCTGGATGATGAGGAAGAAATAGATCAAAATAAGTTCTAGCAATTTTTTCATCATCTAATGTTTGATGAGAACCTATTTGAGAACGAATGTCGTCGATTTGTGAAAGAAATAGACGATAGATATCTCTAGTTTTATCAATAAGAACATGATTGATATTCTAAAGTAAATCGAGAAAAAGAATTTAATTAGAAAAGAAATTAGCAATTGTAACAGATCGAACTGTTCTTGATTGAAAGTTGGCAAAGACTTGCAGAATATCAATTATTTGTTCTAAAGTGATTGCTTTTGTCATTGATTTATTGATTAATTTCACAATAATTAATTCAATTTCATGAATCGATTCCATAAAGCTAAAATTAAGATTTTCAATTCAGTGTTACTTCTTGATTAACATAAGACATGAGTATCGGGCGCGACATGGAGACTTCGTATTCCTGTAAGAATTTTGCTTATCTTTATAGGAATTCTAGTGTTGTCAAAACAATTTCAGCTATCTCACAGCAACTTTGTTTCAAAGAAGACTGAAACTTCAGATTAGTAGTATTTAAATCATCTATTCTTATAGCAATTTACCGTTGGAACTCCTGAGACCATATTGAATGAGCATCCGTAGAAATATCCAGTATATATTTTGAATATCGTTTTACAATAGATAATGCTCGATCGAATGCTTGTTGACTTTGTTCCAGTGAATGTCGGTATTCATCACCTTGAATACCACCAAAAAGTGGTAGACTTTCTTTTTTATTATCTCTATGCCATCCAAAAAGTTTCATACATTCGCAAATCTAAAACACAAAAAAAGTAGGTTTGATAATTTTTAAATGCCGATAATAATGAGAATTCAAACACCTCATCGATTTCATTTAGACGTTGTCGAAATAATTGAACTGAATAGAAGAGAACGTCTTTTTGAAAATCATCTGTCATTAATGGCTTGTTTGAATTTTTGTCGTGCATAGTCAAGATCTATAAACTGTGAAAAGTTGAACGAAACAAATTGCGCAAACAAACAATCTCACATGTAAACATGTTTCCATATAATTATCAACTATTTGAAAAGATTCTTGAAGAATACTTTGTGTTGAAATAATATAACCTTGAAAAAGACGTTTAACACTTATTGCACGAGTACATCGACCAATGATTTGATTGTTGACCTACGAAATTTCGTATCATCTCTCAGACAATATTATTTATGGATTTTGTAAAGAATCGAAATCAAATACGAAAATTGTTTCTTTTATTAAAATTTTATAGGGTGAATACACCTTCAACGCTAAAAACAAACCTTGCCAATGACTAATTTGATTCTTGCAGAAGTTGCAAAGAACTTTGAATGATGCCAAGTAATTAAAATTCGATAGAATATATCAGTAATCACATCTTTTAATTTTTCTAATGATATATCATTGAGTTGTGAAGATGGTTGATCGAGAATTTTTAAAAATTTTAAACAATCTTCTACATATTCAATAAATTCCTAGATTTATTTATCGATATTATTATATAGAACGAAGAAAATGTTTTTTTTACTTGAACTTGATTTTCAGCTTGTAAAAATTGGTGAACATAAGCCGATTTTGATGCGACTAACACTTGAATTATATTTCGTAATTCTGTTCTTTGTAATTGTTTACGAATAAAATGAAGATCCATAAGACATTCTTGCCAACAACTTATTTCTTCATGAATACCAGCCGATTGTTCATTGTTGTTCATTAAACGATCTTGAACAAGGAGTACCTCTTTCAATTGATGATACCACTTAACCATAACGCCTACAAAAATACAGTTTAACAATTTTACGTATTTATCAGAAGATTTTTCTTAAGCCACGAAAATAACGAACTCTATATTCGTATCGATTGCGGTATAAAAACTTTCTTTTACTAGTCTCATGAAGATCTACTAGCAAAGTTCACATGGTCGATGCCTGGGGAGAATAGTTCTATCATGAGCATGTGAATTATTTAAAACATTTACTTTCAAATCTTGTCACAAGTGCTTTGTCTTTACGAAGTTCTTCAATGGTTTTATCAACACCATCTTTTGGAATAAACAAATATGTTCGTGATGTTATATGTTTATATTGTATTTCGTAGAATGTGGCTAAAAATTGGTTGAGTTCACTGGCAAAATCGTTTTTGATAACTTGGAAAAAATCGAATAGAACAAATTCGAATGACACTTCTAAAAAGCAGATTACATACTATCCTGTATTGTGCTATTATCCATAAATAATGGTCCAAATAATGTTGATACAAGTGCTGTTAAACAATGAATAGATTTTCCATTAATAAATCCGAATAGAATCTGTTTTAGAAACGCATCAATCGATGTAATAAACTCAGTTGAATCATTTTTACGAATAAAATAACATAAGTTATAAATTTTATCAATTGACTTGGCCATAGATGGAATCGAATGCAGAAGTTGTAAAGTTGAAGTATGTCGATCGACATAAGCAATAAGAAGATATTGCCGCTTCGATGAAAGAAAATTTTCTAGCACACTCAATAGATCTTTCGTCCACATTTCATCTGCTAGTTCCGGTGATGTAATCAATTTTTGAACATAATCAAGCTAGAAAATTAAAAATTCATTACTTGAAAGGGAACCAGTAACATCATACAAGTGAAATATCGACACTTGTTTTCAATATACTCGATCGACGAGCTTTTTCCTCGTTATATTCTATCTCGATCATCGTTGTTGTCCTGCACAATCAGTATACAGATTTAATTATCAAACATCGAAACTTGATACAGGCTTTCTTGAAAACTAGTTTAAGCGCCGAGATAATTAATGCGATGATGATCTCAAAAACGGAATTTCGCCTGTTGCTCGTTGAAACTGTTTTAGTAACATTAAGATCTCTATATGATAGAAATTTGGTATTCGAGTTTCATCAGAATACGAAATGAGATGCGAAGCACGAGTCAAATTTGCTAAAGAATTGAGAACAAGCTGAAATAGCGATACAAATCGATACAGTAAACATCACACAGAGAGAGTTAGTGATAGTTGAGAGAAGAAAAATATGAAGTAGCACAGCACGAATCCAATAAATAATACGTGCTTCATGTTTCAACTTGATGAACATCTATTTTATTTGTATATTTAAGAATTTTCAAAATAAAATCTTCTCACGTGAATTCTTTTCTTAAATAAAAATAAAAATGTTTTTTTTTAGTTAGATAGCTCTCCTTGTATACAATAAGATTTCGCCATGAAAATCCATCGAAACAGATTCAGTTGAAATAAATGAAAATAGTAAAGAGAGAATTTATTCTAGCATTCCTTGACACTCAAATTAATTACAGCCTACGCCATTCTCTAGAACTTTCTTATGATTCAACTTTGAAGGACACTATCAGCACTGCCTATGTATTATAAAGGAGTTTCGTTGGAAACAAGAACACCTATATAAATATTATGTCTGTCATATCTATTTATAAAAAAAAACTAGCAGCTTCACGATATTACGTACTTCATGATTTTTGATAAATCGAACACACTATTCACTATATAATTTTTCATGCTATTTTTTTCATGTTTATTTGAATATATGGACAAAATCAGGCAAAACGAGATATACACCCCCTTCGTTCGATTCTTATTCTCCACACAGGCTTTCTTCTTGAATTAATCAAGAAGTAATTAGTCATTTTCTTGCAAACGGTATGAGAAAACAGTCAAAAATTTTCAGAGCAGACTCTAGAGTCCAAGCTGCATCTATGGTAAAATTTTCAGCCAGAATGAATTCCAAAATATTTCCTGCGAAAAACTGGCTCTATAAATAAGCAATCAACAGTAGAAACAAATCCTGTTATGTTATTATAATCCCTGGACTCAGAGCAACGATTTGTACGATTTGAAATCTTTTCCAAACTTTTTGTTCGATTTTGAAGATATATTTTCGGTAGTGTATTCGTACTTCATCACGTCGCCGACGAAAAACTCATACGTTTGACAGAAAAATCTAGACATCTTGAAGCAGACATTCCATACATACGTTGTAGCTCGAGATGGTGCCTACTGGATATCGAATATAGTTTTCTAAAATGATGTGCCACTTTGCAGTTTTAATACACTTAAGTCCGTAAAGTCAAAATCTGTGTCATTTATTGGGTCACGTCGCTAACGACTGTTTTTTCCAGATAACTCCTATCAACAAAGTTCCCCAGTACTGATTTCTGCAGCATCTAAAGAGTCACTTAAAATCCATATAATACATAAAAATCAAATCCAGAAAAGTTCACTATTTCAAGCTACAGATAGTTGAATTCTACGGAACCTCGTCGCCAACAAATGATATTGCCCATATATAGGACTACACATTACAAAATATTTCTCGCCTTGACAAATCGCAAAAAAATTAAGTTTATTCATACCTATCATTTCAAGGAAAACACTACCCCTCATCCATCATGATTACATGAACTTTCAATTAATCACCCGTCTCATGAAGACATCTTGAACACAATTACAATTCAGCATCAATGTCATCAAAAAAAACTATTCAGCAAATCTTATAAAAATTTCATTATCTCTTTTACTCGAGGGTGTGGGTGTCAAATCGACCTGCGCGTTCGTAACTCAGAAAGCGATATACCGCGACACCCTAACTTGTGTTGCTCCCTTAGGATTAGAAAGAACTCACTGCCATTTCAAATCACAATCCATGTGACTGGGGTGGCCCTAAAAACGGTCCTTCTCATTTCTCATCACACACCATGGTGTCGGATTGGTCTTAAATAGTGGTCGTTGTCATTTCTGATGACATAACATGTGTTATTCAAAGTCCTAAATAGTGGTCCTTGCCAATTCTCATGGCATACCACGTGGTGCTGAATGTCCTAAATGGTGGTCGTTGTCATTTCTCATGACGTACCATGTGCTATTGAAAGTCCTAAATAGTGGTCGTTGTCATTTCTCATGACATACCATGTGTTATTAAAAGTCTTAAATAGTGGTCGT